TGTTTAAAATTCAATTTTTAAGATGGCTGCCATGGTGGCCATGCTGTATGTCATCTTGACACCTTTTTGTTAATAAGTCTTTTAGTGAAAACCCATGCTGATATGACCAATCATCCACAAGGTGAGACAATTATAAGAATTTAATGATGGTCACTATGGTTGTCATATTGGACATTCAAGAATTGAGAATCAGCAATGGGATTAATGTGATTGTAAAGTTTTAAGGCAATAATCCAGCAATTTAGGAGTTTTAGGGGTGAAAACTCCATGTTGATATGACCATCCCATTAAAGAGGAGTAGCAACAGCAAGATTTTCAAGATGGTTGCCAGCTGGGTAGTTTTTGTTTAGAACCAACTAGACATCATAAGAAGTCTTTTAGTGAAAACCCAATCATAATAAGACAATACATTTGGGAACAACAGTGATAACAAGATTTTAAAGAATGAAATAGTTAGCTGTTGTTTTGTTGTTGTTTTAAGGTTTAATGCCATTTTTCAGCACAAGATAGAATATACATGGCGACCATTTTTCCTTCAACAATGAAGCCCCCTATGAAAACAAATTCATGACTTCATAAATAATCATGAACTGTTCATGAATGGTCATAAATGTTCTTGAAATGTTCATTATCATTTCATCACCCAAGTTAATGAACACTTCAAGAATTTTGATGAATCATGTACTCGAGTTAATGAAAATAATGATGAACTTTTGTTAACTATTAGGAAATCTTTGAAGTTTCTGAAATGTCATTAATTTGCTTCATGAACAATTCAAGTAATTTGATGCACCAGCAAGATATTTCTTAAAAATGTATATCATATTTTTATATCATTATGTATATAAAATGTTTATGAAAATTCATCATACAAACTTCTCAGAATATTAGTGAAATATAAATAAAGATGAATATTTTTTAATTATATGATACTGTATACATTTTCAGAAATCTTTTATTCAATACTTGTGTACTAAACTTTAATAGTTCTGGATTAAAATGGGAAAATATTTCCTGGCCAGCATGAACAAAATGTACTTGCTATAAAAGCTTTCAATGACTCTGTTCTAATGTTTTTGTCCAGTACTGTCATAAACTGCATATTTTATTGACTTTGTAACTGGTTGCCAAGTTGCAGTAAAAACCGAAATATGTAAATGATCATCTTGATTGGATGACTGTGAAAGATGTGATATGTTTGGGTAATATATGCGCATGATTTCAGTGGCTAAGCATCCTCCCCCCCACACACACACACACAAACAAGAGAGCATGCAATGGGTTTTGCAACAAGTAACAATCTTGAACAAAAGTTGTGGCCTTTCGTGGAATGGACAGATGAGAATATTTTCAATATCATTTCTTTTAAAAATGTAGAATTGCAGAGAAGGAATTATAAAGAATATGAAGGAATTGACTTGGTGAGAGGAACATTAGGTGGAATGTATATGGCGGGATCATCAAAAGTACGGTGAATGTATCTTTTCTTAGTCATTCATGATTATTTCCGTGGGAGTTATATGGATATTTTATTGGTTTTTATGTCATCATATCAGTTTAACCAAACTAATATACCTGTTATTTGTCAGATCCAATTTAAACTTGCTCTTCAAATTTTTGAAAATCACTAAACATTATCATACCTCCACCCCCTTTTTCGATCTGGATACCATACCCTGTACTGCATCTGCGATAGAAATTTAGATGCTTGGCATCGTTTTGTTTTATGACATCACTATTTATATGATCTGACATAATTTGGTAAATTAAAACAAAAAAAAACTAGTTAATGTGTCAAACTACTAACATGACCAAACCAGAAGCAGCTATATGCAACATCTGGCATCAGAGTAAATAAATTTTATTGATTAAAACATTCGACTCCTGTGACTTATAATACCTATGGCTAGTCAGCTTCAGTTAAAATTTGACTAGAGAAAAAAATTCTCCAATTATGTAAATGCTCTCCTGTGACTTATAATACCTATGGCTAGTCAGCTTCAGTTAAAATACAACTAGAGAAAAAAATTCTCCAATTATGTAAATGCTCAGTAAGATATGTATTAAGTGTAAGGGATTAAATAATTCTGAGTTGGATCGGTAAATAAAGTTGGGTACAAAAATAATGTGCTAAAAGCTGAAGACTGTTGATCAGAGGTTGTCTGTAATTAACTTTATATTTCTTTCAGATCAGACAACAGAAAATTAAAATTATTAGAGGATGAAGTTTGTAGGATAAGGAGGAAAATTTGACAACTGGAGGATCTTACAGCTGAGATGGAGTAGACATTAAAAAGTGACTGCTGCAGCAATGTTAAAGATGCATACAGTAATCAGATGGAACAGCTTAAGTTGCAGATGGAGACATTCAGTAGTGACAATAGGTGGAATTTGATCAAATTAAAATTAGGTCCTGACTGTATTCAAAAAAAATTATCTGACAGGTCAGTTTGGTGGTGGGGATCCAGGTCATCTGGAGAAAGTGGAATCAGCCCCATGACAATGACTGATAAATATCCTTCAGCAGTTGATTGAACACAATGGCCCCATTATCTCTTGAACAATTTTCAAAGAAAAATTACAAAACATACAAAAAGTGTTGCTAAGAATAAAAAAGAATATAACTTAAAGTCAGTTTACATGTTCTTTGTTGCATATTAGAAATTTATATGAAATTAAACAATTTTTTAAGATATGTTGCATTTTATACTGTTTTAAACCCCCACATCTAAGTTTTTTTTATGATTCAGGATGAAATAGGTATTTGTGAGCTTGTCATATAATCAAATTTTTTAAAAACTGTTCATGAAGTCATGAAGAATGAGGAACATGAATATGTTCATTAACTGTGATGAATGATGATGAACCAGTTAGTGAACTTTTATGAACAGTTCATGAATTCAGTTCATAAGCGTTCAAGAACAGTTTGTAAAATCATGGGTTATGAACGTTTGTGAATTCTTTTATTTCATGAACTGACCATTTTCAGTTCATGCACATTCATGAACCTTTTGATGAACTTTCAGGAATGGTTCATAAACAGGTTCATGAACCATTCAAGGAATGGTTCATAAACAGGTTCATGAACCATTCGGGAAAGTTCATGAATTATTCATGATCATTTCATAGGGAGATAGAAGCATTTTGACTGACAAATCAATAGGTCTCTTCTATCAATAACAGCAAGCTCTCCATATGATTTGGTTAAGGCAACTAACTGATAAAGAACTAAGTTCTAATGCAAAAAATTTTTTCAGTCAATTACCAGGACTTTTGACCTGAAAATCAACAGGCATCTTTTTTACCCAAAGAGTGAGTCATTCACAAAAATTGTGAAGGTACATAGTCAAGATGTGAAATTTGTAGGGCCCTTAATTAATGAGTATTTGATTCCCAAATGCAAGCCATTCACAAAGTTTGGTCCAGGTCTGTAGTGTAGAACTAATGTTATTGTACAGAAACAATCTGTCTTCTCTCAGTTGGTGATCTTAACCTTTGACTTTTTCACTTCAATTAGTTTCTTCTTTGCCCAAGTTCAAGCTATCCATAAAATCTGATAACTGTGGATACTGAAGCAACAAAAGGAGTACTTGTGTAGAAATAAAATCAACAACAGATGGACATAACAACACAATACACTGGACCTATAGTGGGAATGTAAAAACTAATGACTACATAATTCCAGTCTAATCAATTAATTTTGGCTACAAGACCATAGCAAAAACCTTGACTTTTAAAATATCTGCAGATAGAATGATATGATATCATGAACCCTATGGCTACAAAAATGCTGGACAATTAACCTTGGTTATCAGCAACTAATCTTGAAATACATTACCAAATATGACGAATATGACATTCTCCTCCTCAAAGGAAATATGACACTCATACCAAATATGCCCTTTCCCATACCAAATATGGGATACCCTCTTTCATACCAAATACGACATGCCCTTTCTCCTACTAAACAAGATATACACTTTCTCATATGAAATATGACATACCCTTTCCCATGCCAAATATGATGTACTCTTTCTCATACCAAGCATGATGTACCCTTTCTCATATCAAATATGATGTACCCTTTCTCATACCAAATATGATGTACACTTTCTCATACCAAATACGACATACCCTTTCCCATGTCAAATATAATGTACCCTTTCTCATACCAAATATGATGTACACTTTCTCATACCAAATACGACATACCCTTTCCCATGTCAAATATGATGTACCCTTTCTCATACCAAATATGATGTACCCTTTCTCATACCAAATATGATGTACCCTTTCTCATACCAAATATGATGTACCCTTTTTCATACCAAATATAATGTATCCTTTCTCATACCAAATATGATGTACCCTTTCTCATACCAAATATGATGTTACTTCAAAATTGATGGATACTAAGTAACAGTAAATCATTAAAATGTCAAATAAATTCTTATAGAACAAAAAAAAAGCAAAGTATCTTGAAAGAAAATTAATGAAAAAATATTTCTTTTAACATTTTTACATTCCAAAACAGTACTCTTTTGTGACCTCCTTTTTATTTACCTGTTTGTGTTGGTTTGTTTATAAATGTAAACAGTGACCAGAAAGGTGAGCTCAATGATTTTGTTATTGGCACTAATGAAAGAAAAATATCATACTAATTTTCTTCAGAAAATATTTATACTAATGTACAAAAATCTTTCTAAATTTAAAGACAAAACTACGGTATGTAAAAGATGACCTTTGTTAGTTATTATATACTACTGCAATATTATATGTGCTACCTGACAAAGTGTGTATATTTTTAATAACTTTAGGACAGTCAGAAATCTGCAGATTCTATTTAGTAACTTAAATCTGTCCTTTCTTAAATTTAAAGTAACATTGGTCCCACCCAATTGCATTATCCTGACAATAAGCTGACCAGTCCTAACACTAACCTTATAACGCTGAGCACCTAGTAAGGCAGCTGTTAGTACCATTTTTATAAGGTATTGGTGTGACTCTGCCAGGGTTTGAACATGCAACCTCCTGCATTCAAGACAGATGTTCTAACCACTAGGCCACCCAAGCAGTTTTTTTTCAGCAAGGACATGCAGGCAATGCAGCTACTTCACAGTATATCTTGATCTAATTATGTTACAATACATGTGCAAACTACAAATGCAAAGTTCTGATTAATATTGTTCTAAATTGTTGATATTGATTTAATGCCATTTTTCAGCACGTGACATGATACTCATGGTCACTAGTATAACTTGTGGTGGAAGAACGAGTGAAAACTCCAATATAAAACTTTCTCACTTTCCAAATGACACCACTGAAGCTCTGGATTCAGACTGGTATCCAACCTGCAGCCTTTGGATTGTGAGTCCTATTCACTATCAACTGGGCTAATAGGTTTCAACAGGGTAAGAAGATAAATGTGTACCACTTGTTTCAATTCTCAGCATACCACACACATTGTCTTCTCTATAATGGGATATGGATGTGATGTGATGTGATGTGATTTTTAATGTAGCTTTAAAAAAATTTCAGTCACATGGCTTTGATGTCTGCAGTGTGGCAGTTTATAGTGATGTCTAGCACTGGGGCATTATGCAGCAGACATGTAGCATGATATCCCATCCAGTCACATTATCCTGACACCAGGCCGACCAATCCTAACATTAACCTCTTAATGCTGAGTGCCAAGCAAGGCAGCTGTTAGTACCATTTTTTTAAGTCATTGGTATGACTCAACCAGGGATCAAACCCACAACCTCCCACATCCGAGGTGGACGATCTAACCACTAGGCCGTCGGATGTAACATGTACAAGAATCAGTTGGGTATAAGACAGTACATGTCATGCTCATGTGATACATGATAACTGGTATATTCAGAATATGACATGTGATATGCCTGAAACTATGTTGCTGAATACATATACATGCATGCATTCTTGAAACCAAAACTGATATTCCTAAATTACAAGTTGCATAAACTTAAGAATCAATGCCATCATGAGGTATAGGCCAAGTCAAGTTTAGCATCATAAATGAAATACATTACAATTTGTTGGGAATTATCCAGCTTGCAAGGCAACTGGAGATTTCCTGCATACAAACAAAAAAAAAACCATGCAGTTTCTGAAAAGAAATTAGATAATTAGTTCTTTATTGCTATTTTGTTATCAGGGAAAATCTTTCTCCTAATTGTACAAGGAAATGTCAAACAAAAAGAAATTCAGCTGCAATGGCCCTGAGAATTTTGCTACAACACACAAACATATTTTTTTTTAACCAGAGAAGACTTGTCTGGAGTGTCTGTCTCCTTTTTCTTTGAAAATATTTCCATATCCATGATAATAGCGAGCAATTTTCACAAATCTCTCCAGATCCACACTCTTCCTGAGCAACTTCTACAAATTTATAGACATTTACACTGTTCCAGAGCAAATGATACAAAAGTCTATAGATCCACACTGTTCCAGAGCAACTTTTACAAATTTCTAGACATTTGATCTGTTCCAGAGCAAATGATACAAAAGTCTCTAGATCCACACTGTTCCAGAGGAAATGATACAAAAGTCTCTAGATCCACACTGTTCCAGAGGAAATGATACAAAAGTCTCTAGATCCAAACTGTTCCAGAGGAAATGATACAAAAGACTCTAGATCCACACTGTTCCAGAGGAAATGATACAAAAGTCTCTAGATCCACACTGTTCCAGAGGAAATGATACAAAAGTCTCAAGATCCACACTGTTCCAGAGGAAATGATACAAAAGTCTCCAGATCCATACTGTTCCAGAGGAAATGATACCAAAGTCTCCAGATCCACACTGTTCCAGAGGAAATGATACAAAAGTCTCTAGATCCACACTGTTCCAGAGGAAATGATACAAAAGTCTCTAGATCCACACTGTTCCAGAGCAACTTCTACAAATTTCTAGACATTTACACAGTTCCAGAGCAAATGATACAAAATTCTCTAGATCCACACTGTTCCGGAGCAACTTTTACAAATTTCTAGACATTTATACTGTTCCAGAGCAAATGATACAAAAGTCTATAGATCCACACTATTCCAGAGGAAATGATACAAAAGTCTCTAGATCCACACTATTCCAGAGGAAATGATACAAAAGTCTCTAGATCCACACTGTTCCAGAGGAAATGATACAAAAGTCTCAAGATCCACACTGTTCCAGAGGAAATGATACAAAAGTCTCCAGATCCATACTGTTCCAGAGGAAATGATACCAAAGTCTCCAGATCCACACTGTTCCAGAGGAAATGATACAAAAGTCTCTAGATCCACACTGTTCCAGAGGAAATGATACAAAAGTCTCTAGATCCACACTGTTCCAGAGCAACTTCTACAAATTTCTAGACATTTACACAGTTCCAGAGCAAATGATACAAAATTCTCTAGATCCACACTGTTCCGGAGCAACTTTTACAAATTTCTAGACATTTATACTGTTCCAGAGCAAATGATACAAAAGTCTATAGATCCACACTATTCCAGAGGAAATGATACAAAAGTCTATAGATCCACACTGTTCCAGAGCAACTTCTACAAATTTCTAGACATTTACACAGTTCCAGAGCAAATGATACAAAATCCTCTAGATCCACACTGTTCCAGAGCAACTTTTAGAAATTTCTAGACATTTACAATGTTCCAGAGCAAATGATACAAGTCTCAAGATCCACTGTTCCAGAGCAACTTCTACAAAACTATCCAGATCCATAGTCCCATACCAACTTCAAAAACTTTTCAGATCCACAGTTCCAGTGCAAATTCAACAAAACTCTAGATCCACTGTTCCAAAGCAACTTCAACAAAACTCTCCAGATCTGTTCCAAAGCAACTTCAACAAAACTCTCCAGATCTGTTCCAAAGCAACTTCAACAAAACTCTCCAGATCTGTTCCAGAGCAACTTCAACAAAACTCTCCAGATCTGTTCCAGAGCAACTTTAACAAAACTCTCCAGATCCATGCCATTCCAAAATAAGTTCTACAAAGCTCTCCAGATCTGTCCCAGAGCAACTTCAACAAAACTCCACAGATCCACTGTTTTAAGAACAACTTCTACAAATCTCTCCAGATATGTTAAAGCAACTTCTACCTTCTACAAATCTCTCCAGATATGTTAGAGCAACTTCTACCTTCTACAAATCTCTCCAGATATGTTAAAGCAACTTCTACCTTCTACAAACCTCTCCAGATATAATAAAGCAACTTCTACCTTCTACAAATCTCTCCAGATATGTTAGAGTAACTTCTACCTTCTACAAATCTCTCCAGATATGTTAGAGCAACTTCTACCTTCTACAAATCTCTCCAGATATGTTAAAGCAACTTCTACCTTCTACAAATCTCTCCAGATATGTTAGAGCAACTTCTACCTTCTACAAATCTCCCCAGATATGTTAGAGTAACTTCTACCTTCTACAAATCTCTCCAGATATGTTAGAGCAACTTCTACCTTCTACAAATCTCTCCAGATCTGTGCTGTTGCATAGCACTTTCTATAAATCTCTCAAAATCCATGTTTCGAGCAAACTGAACAAAAATCTCTCCTGATATATGCTGCTGGAGGGTGACATGTATAAACCTCTAGAGATTCACACTGTTCCAGGTCAACTTTTACAAATCTCTCCAGATTCATGATATTCCAGAGCATCTTTCAGGTTCATTGGCTTATCACTTTTTTCCCCAGTACACACAAGTTGAAAACCTCTGGTAATCAACTAAATAAAGTGTGTGTGTGTGTGTGTGTGTGTGTGTGCATGCATGCATGCATGTGTGCAATCAATGAGATAGCTGTGCTGTTTTCATATTCCTACTTGAGACTGCCTCTTTGAAGTAACATAAGTCAAATGCAATTAGGAACCATGTGAACACAATAATTGACAACTCACTCAAAAATTCAGATAAATTTCAAGCCATGTATACTGTCTACACTTGCTTATAAGTCCAGTCCAACTGCAAACTGCACAGACCCAGACATGCAGGCACATAGAACACAAACATATCTGGGTCTGTATAGTTTGTCAGGAGTAATTAGTAGGAAAAATCACATTGAGCCGATCTATAGACACATTACACTAAAAAAGATTGGGATCATTATTATTTGCAGTCTGATTCAACTTGAGTGAGTATATACAGTACTGGAAATGCTGTTTCCACTACATATTGCCTTCTAACATTTTGCATTTTCTTTCAATACTGTACACACATGATAATGCCCAGAAAAGAATAATCAGTGAATGCAAACAGATTTTAATTTTTCACACTATAGGCAGAATGTAGCAAAAGCTGATCTTGATCTTTATCAACAATGTATTATCAAGTATTAAACACTGATAATAATTACTGAATAGGTCAAATTTGAAAACTATTTAAAGGTCTCAATGTGTTTTCTATGAAACATTCAGATGAAAAGGTACTGTACAGTTGTCAAAAGAGCTATGAAAGAAGGGGGGTTTACATCATAAAAACCATTATCCAAAGAGTCCCTGTTTTTCTGTCACCCTTAAAATTTTAAGAATATTTTGTCAAGGTCAGTAATTGTGAATTGAGAGTTAAATTTTACAAAAAGTTTTTAAAAAATGCTATAACTGCCTGAACATGTAATCAGGTCATATATATATATATATATATATATATATATATATATATATATATATATATATATATATATATACACAAATATGGCTACCAAATTTCATTTGTCAACCATAAATGGGTTTTACTCATTGTGATAACAAGGTTTTAGGAAAAAAATTAACGTATCCATGTTCTTTTTAAACAAAGTCATCGAATTTTGAAATTGCTGTAATAATATGAAAATATACCTAGGTTATAATAAACATAAATAATATTGTAAAAATTGCATTTTTTTACCTCAGGTTAGTTTTTTTACAGCAATACTAAAAAGAAAACGTCCAGAAAGTTAAAAAAAAAATATTTTTCAAAAATTAAACAATATTAATCCAATGTTCTAATTACTAGGTCATGTATCTAAGACCATGATAACATGTACATTTTCATGGCTCCAAGTCTAATAGTGATT